TTACGTATGTCCCTATTCCGAAAGAATACACACAGTCACGACACATAATACAACATACTGTGAATAAGTTCCATTAATGTCTTTATATATAAACTACCGCCTCCGTGGTGTAGTGGTAAGAGCGTCCGCCCGGAGAACGGAAGGTCGCGGGTTCGATCCCCGGCCGCGTCATACCAAAAGACGTTAAAATATGGTACTTGTTGGTCCCTGTATGGCACTCGGCATTAAGGTACATCAAGGACTGGTCGGCACAGAGTCAGTATAATGTGTCTGAGTGGGGTATTCATGCTACCTGCGGCATGATATCTCAGTGAGCTAGCACTATAAAACCAGCTTAAGTCAAGCAGCTACACATACACACGCATGCACGTCGTCATATGAGCGAAATGTTCTTAAGTGCGACGTTAAACCCCATTTCACCTCACCTTTATATAAACTAATAATTCCTCGTAACGCAGATGGGACGCGTACTGACCTATCTTAAGATCGGGGTTAGAATAGGCCTTCAGCAGCCAATGCTTGTCGTAAGCGATGACTATCGAGATCAGCCGGTCAGGCTCTCTGAAACATGCCATCATATCCCAGTTGCCTAGATCGATGCTCATGATATCAATCACTCGTATTGCTGGAATGTTGCTGAGTGCGGCGTTATACATCAATAACAAATAGAACAAAACCAAATAAAAACAAACAAACAAACTTGCGGCCATGGTGGTTGTCATATGTTCGACAGTCCACCAAACGCTAAGGCTCGATTCCCATATAGCTATAAGGTGTAAGCCGATACTTGGTTCTCATTCATGATGTCCCTTATCGAAGTTTCACTGAACTATTTCTAATGCAAGAACTTTCTAACTCAAGCTCACTTCCTTCCTTACTCCTTCACGCAATTACTCCTGACTTCATCGCGGCTTACATGTACTACTACACCAGCGATTGAAATGATCCGACCATTATCCATAACGTGGGTTATAAGACACCCCATAATACACTTGGATACAAAGCTATTGAGGATACGCAGGTGCAGCAAGCATCGCCAACATTGAAATGTGTTACTTTAGCCTTGAAATAGACTCATTTCTAATGCTCTGCAGCATTGTCACCAGCAGTAATGAATTTCCTGGCACGGAGCTGTGTCTGTATTAAAACCGAATCGTGTATAGATGGTTTCACCCACGACCCGTCTTATTGCTTGGGTTTCGATCGCAGTTGTCCTGGCAAGTCAGTTTGTTCCAGAAGGTGTAGGAGGAGTGAGCTTTGCATGTTCATAGTGGCGAGCCACTTTACCAAAGTATCGGTTATTGCGAACCCAGTTTATTCATCGGAAAATTGTTTTAGGTGATTTGAAAAGTTAGTCTTGGAAACAATTTCTTGTGAAATATTTTACATCTACGGATGTAGAGATTGAGGTCAAAGTGAACTGTTGTCCTTAACTCCGTATGTGTCGAAGGTGGATAAAACGTACAATTGATGGCAATGAAATATCGGAAATCGGTTATCACAAACAATGTGATGCATATCAGAACCGCTGATATAACGAACAATGTGATGCGTATATGAAACATTCGGATATTAAGAACAAAACCATGCATATAACCGTTGATAAGAGGTACAATCGAATACAAGGAACAATATTATAGATATAACTAATAATAGGATATATCGAATAATATGGCGCATACAAAAGACAATCTGATAAAACGAACAATATGATTTATGTAAAGATTAATGGGATACAACGGACATTGTGGTACATATAAAACAATCGGATACAACGAACAATATGATTCATGAAAAGAACAATCGGATACAACGAACAATATGATTCATGTAAAGAACAATCGGATACAACGAACATTGTGGTACATATAAAAAACCAATCGGTGAGGTGAGGTGAAATGGGGTTAAACGTCACACTGAAGAAATATTTCGCTCATATGACGACGTGCATGCGCGTGTACTAGCCCAGACTTAAGCTGGTTTTATAGTGCTAGCCCACTCAGATACCATGCCGCAGTGAAGCATGAATACCCCACTCAGACACATTATACTGACTTCGAGCCAACCAGTCCTTGTTGTACCCATTAATGTACAGATATTTTAACGTCTTTTGGTATGACGCGTCCGGGGATCGAACCCGCGACCTTCCGCTCTCCGGGCGGACGCTCTAACCACTACACCATGGAGGCGGTTAAAAAACAAACGGATACAACGAACAATATGATTCATGTAAAAAACAATCCGATCCGATACAACGATACACATTCGGAACAATCGGATACAACAAGCAATATGATTCATGTAAAGAACAATCGGATACAACGAGCAATATGATTCATGTAAAGCACAATCGGATACAACGAGCAATATGATTGGTGTAAAGAACAATCGGATACAACGAGCAATATGATTCATGTAAAGAACAATCTGATACAACAAGCAATTGTAAAGAACAATCTGATACAACGAGCAATCTGATTCATGTAAAGAACAATCGGATACAACGAGCAATATGATTGGTGTAAAGAACAATCGGATACAACGAGCAATATGATTCATGTAAAGGACAATATGATACATCAAGCAATATGATTCGTGTAAAGAACAATCAGATACAACGAGCCATATGATTGGTGTAAAGAACAATCGGATACAACGAGCAATATGATTCATGTAAAGAACAATCGGATACAACAAGCAATATGATTCGTGTAAAGAACAATCAGATACAACGAGCAATATGATTGGTGTAAAGAACAATCGGATACAACGAGCAATATGATTCATGTAAAGAACAATCGGATACAACAAGCAATATGATTCATGTAAAGAACAATCGGATACAACGAGCAATATGATTCATGTAAAGAACAATCGGATACAACAAGCAATATGATTCATGTAAAGAATCGGATACAACAAGCAATATGATTCATGTAAAGAACAATAGCGTGTACTGGCCCCAGTAATATTTATGAAATTCTAATTTCTGAAAAAAAAAACCGAGCTGTTTCCAAACGATTTGGAGTCGACGTATTCTAAGCAATATCAATGAAGCACTGAAGCCATTAGTGAACGTTTGAATAAGGTAGCGACAAGGCATTCTTGATAATCTCTAATGTGTCATGTGACTCGAAAACCCATGTTTGTTCTTACACAATCAACGTGCATGTAAATCTCATGGCAATCGCAGTTATTTCCAAACGGATGAATCAGCATGAATGTTGATGGGAACTCATCCCGTTGAATATTTCATACCTACGACAGATCTAATTTGCTGAGCTATGAGAATGACCCTGACTGCGAGTGTATTATTGATGGATCCATGCCTATGAACAGATCGGGGTGGGCACAACGTTCTAAACATGAGCTACTGTTGCATCAACGGAGAGGAAATGGACTGGTATTTCTGATATGATCGCTCGTCTGAATAGGACACATTGTGCGTGTGTTAAACGATGCAGCATGTGTTGGATAAATGTCAGTATTGTATCTAGAATCAAATTGTCATCTAGAATGTATTTCTGATCTACTGACTGTCTGACTGAGTTTGGTTTTACGCCGCTTTTAGCAATATTCAAGCAACATCACGGCGGGGGACACCACAAATGGGCTTCACACATTGTACCCATGTGGGGATTCGAACCCGGGTCTTCGGCGTAACGAGCCAACGCTTTAACCACTAGGCTACCCCAACCGCCCCGTCTTTTGATAAAGTGTAACAGATCTACTTACACCAATTTTTAATAAAAATGACAACATATCATTTCGTAGAGCTGTCCTATCAGTGAACACTTACCTGCCTATGTTCCTCACTGAGAATGCCAACTGATGCTCAATAAATTCATGCAGGTAGGCACTAGGCTACCCCAACCGCCCCATTTCTGATCTAAATAAAGTTTACTTCTCATGTAGCTGTATCAAGAGTGTTACGCAAACATGGGCAGTTGTTACACCCAACCGGTAGTCGGAATGTTCTGATTGTGCACAACCTGCAACAGATCTTTGGTTAAATAATTTCATAAGAGCCAGTATCTTCGCGATACCCGTTTGTTTCCAATAGGCAAGTTTATCCAACGGCATATTCATGAATTGCCAATACCTTAAGGATACCACGTTTGTACAATACCCGTGTATATACAGCGAAACATGAACAGCCATTACCTTCATGACACCCGGTGTCTGTTGTATGTCTTTCATACAGACGGTACACATAAAATCTGTTCCTTCGGGACAAATGGTGTTCGGAAAATATTCTAACGTCTTTTCTCACCATCTTATAAAGCTGTTCTAACGCCTTTTCACACCATATTGTAAAGTTGTTCTAACGTCTTTTCACACCATATTGTAAAGTTGTTCTAACGTCTTTTCACACCACATGACACAGGTAATGCGTCATGTTCCTTTCAGCATATCCTAGATTATACCTAAATACACCTTATTCATACTCTATGTTTATATTAGAAATACATTGTGACATTTTGAAACAGATACAAACTTTTCAGAACAATTTCGAGGTACGCACATTTGAATTGCTTCAAACTGAACTCAGAGGTGATTAAATGAAACATACAAAACAACAATTCTGGTTGACATATAGGAAAGAGAGGACGGAAAGCTTCAGAATACCATCATATATTCTATCCTGAAACAACTCCCACCAAGAACCACATCCTAATTGATCAAGATGCTGGGTTCTAAGAGGATTGGGTAAATGTACCGTAGTCAATGATTTGACGAATAAGTTCAATATACCAGAGCATCTAGTTTTACACGTAGCCCTTAATGTCCGGTATAGCAGAGATAACAGCCTTAATGACAGATACGCCACTAAACTCTCTGATCTTAAGACGAGACACAGCCCTACTGGTGACAAAGATACATCTGTTTGCAAATCTCCTTGCTATTCCGACACAACTTCTGTTTGTTCTCTCACGGCACGGTTTGTTGAACACACACAGACAGTGACAGCTAAATTTATACATCCTTCCCTATTTCAGACAAATTGTCCCCCAGCTCCCAGAACGCCTGTCAACCCAGACCCATATATACGAGACAGCTGGTACACTGGCCGATGTAGCATCCTGGTCTTGTAATCTCCCTTCCTGGATAACGATGTGATCGAAGTCCACAGCATCAGCCTCAGCTTCTCATGATCAAACTCCAAGGTAAAACCTCTCAACATCAAATTGCAGTCCGTGTCTCAGATGTGTGTATAGAAGGCCGGCTGGTGGGTTTTATACCTGATTAATGCTCTGGTTTTATGCCCAGGCCTCCATAGCGGCAGTGCTTGTAAAACAACTACAAAGTAAGTAATCATACCAGTGCCCAGTCTATGTTTGTGCTTGCCTGCTTTAATCTGGAGGCGGGTAATAGAGCCCAGATATATGGACCTGTATAACTCCGCGGGATCACTCCACTATGCTGTAATAATGAATTATCTCGAAATAATGTTGTTTTACCTTTTGGCTAATTACATTGTCTCTTGATGGGCGTTCTGTGGTCGGCTTTACAATGTGTATGCCAGGTTCAAAATCCTTCCTGTTTATTCTTCTCATCAACTGGATGACAAATGCGAAGGTGTAGGTCACGACTGAATATCTTTTTACGACGTGAATGGGAATTACGTAATCACTTCTAGTTCAAGTTCGAGCCTTCAATATACCTGATGACAAGACTCTTTAAACATGCGAGGCGTTGGGATAGCCTAGTGGTTAAAACTTTCGCTTCACGCCGAAGACCCGGGTTCGATTCCCCACATGGGAACATTGTGTGAAGCCGTTTTCTGGTGACCCCTGCCGTAATATTTCTGGAATATATTTAAAAACGGCGTAAAACCTAACTCACTCACTCTTTAACCATACTGTTTCGCAACGGTCATGTGGAGGTGATTTCATTTGAAAGTTCCGTTTTGAACGTCTATGATTTTGTCGGTGGAATAGAGATCAATGTTTGACAAACATACGACATGACACTCGGAACACTCCCGGAAGTGACACCAGCGTATAAGTACGTCACTCTGGAAACAGAAGGTACATTTATGCGTTGTTTTTAAGGGGGGGGGGAGAGAGAGAGAGAGAGAGAGAGAGAGAGAGAGAGAGAGAGAGAGAGAGAGAGAGAGAGAGAGAGAGAGAGAGAGAGAGAGAGAGAGAGAGAGAGAGAGAGAGAGAGAGAGAGAGAGAGTTCTGCCAGGCCGACAGTCGGGTTAATACCTGGGTTTCAGACCCTTCAAGATGATGCGTGTATTTACAGTATATAATATTTTATATAAAATTTATTTTAAGTACCGTACATATATTTCATATATGTTATTTCAGCACTTTTCATGCATTTCAATTAATCAATCACAATTCATACATTTCATTCAAAGTGCAAACATGCAGCAACTTCATCCACAAACTGCATTGTATTGATGCGGTTTGTCTGAAGTCTCTCCTAGAGGGTCAAGAAACGGGTGTCCAAAATTCGATATACTTCCTCCACGGTGGGACGGAATATATTTATTTATACTCTTTGTGAAAAATATTTACTGCTTTCCAAAGTAAATCAGTGGTGAACATGTTTTTTAAACTAAAGTGGTGAACCCAAACTCAACGTATTCAGTAAGTGGTGAGCTTATTTCACTGAAATGGTGAGACGACCCCATACTGTCAAAACAATGATAATTGGCGTTATTTACTTCAAATGACACCGGCAAGCCGTCCTGGCGCACCTCTCTGCATGTCTACTTGGTACACATGTCGGCCTCGCAGGAGGCCCCCTTTAAAGGATACCATTCTAAAGAAGTTAGAGAACAAGACAATTCATGTGACGATAATTAATCTGTTATGGCTGATTTTCATTCGAGGTTGCTCTTTAACTTGTTTTGGTTATTATATTTCATCACACGGTAAGCAATTATTAAACTCTTGCAGTCTTCTTTTTTAGAAGAAACCTATGTATATGGTTTAGGGTCACGATATATAATCCCAGAGAAGTAGGTTGACATACACAACGTTTAATTTACTTAGATGATATACTCAATGTTTGGCGGGTTAGCAGAGACGTATGTAATCTTACACATCAATGAACCCTCATTAACCAAGGGGCGGTGGGGTAGCCTAGTGGTTAAAGCGTTCGTTCGTCATGCCGAAGACCCGGGTTCGATTCCCCACATGGGTTCTATGTGTGAAGCCCATTTCCGGTGTCCCCCGCCGTGATATTGCTGAACTCATTCACTCACCCATGAACCAAACAACCCTAAATACTGCACATGACAATAGTACGTATATTTTTTATAGAAAAGTTCACTCTTAAATTAACGTGATTGATCAGTATTGTCTTGGACTGTCTACTTGAAGGAGTACCACAACTGGCTACTCTATTGCACTACAAATTTCCATAAAATTCTCGAGAAAAAACAGAGCGAGTGTTTGTGATAGTGATGCTGATGGCGATGGTTATTATTAATGGTGTTATGATGCTGCTGCTGCTGCTGCTGCTGATCATGTGTCAAGGGTTGGGGAGGGGGTGAGGATATTGAAAATGATTAGTGCCATTACTGTTTATGAGTTAATGGTATAACTGCATGTTTTTGTAACATATTCATTGAAATCACCTCAAGCGACATGGAACATGATTTGTTTAACCGTTTTTTAGATATTGATTATCAAAGATTTAAATAGTTCACTAAACAATGAAATGCTCTGCTCGATTAATTCCTCATTTAACTAGGGAAATGCTCGATAATGTAACACAATTGTACGTCTATTCTATTATCTGAAAATCAGTGCTCACGATTGATTAAAAAATAGACATGCGAACAATTTCACAATTAGATACAGTAATCTTTGCTCATCAAACTCTAAAATAGTAATCACGTCGTGCAAAACTCTGTTCCATGCTAACGTTTAATACCTAAATACAAGTACTCGACTACCAATCAATATTTTATGCCATTCAGCCACTGCTTCTGGTACAGTTCACCATCAAGCCCATGACAGCGGTAAATTGCGTTATTTACAGGCAAACGTCGCTGTTTTCAGGACGATATCAGGTCATTAGATGTACCTTGGTGATTTAACTCAATGACAGCCTGTCCTCGATACTTAGCAGAGGCAGTTATTCCAACATGACACATCTAATAGCAATCTGATAACTACCAACCTTTTTGTTCCGCAGAGAATGGGCTGGAGAAGGCCTTGCCAATGGAACAGCCTCTGGGTCATCGAAAGGGGACTTTTAAATGGGTTCATCTGTGACAGAGAACCGTGATGATGATGCTGACGCTGGAGCAAGCTGGCAGAGAAGAAGTTTTCTTCCGAAGAGGATTGGACAATATTCTGAATTAGCTGTGTTGTGAATCTCAAAAGAACACAGGGCGTGGATTCAGAAGGAGGTACCTTGCAAATCTGGATCATATTTTTATTTGTATTGAAATATCCTGGTCGGGTTGGAAATTTTACCAACAATGAATATAGGATGAAAGTGTATTGTGATTGTTAACGTTCGCGAATACAGAATCTTGTCTAAGAGACCAATACATCTACTACTGCTCAACGCTACAAGCAAAATGTCAGTCCCCGGAGAGCCCGTTGGAACCAAGATGGGGCTTTTGTCCATAAAGGGTGCTGCTACAGCCATTACGTTTTTCTTAGGACTAGGAATGTTTCTTATGGCCTTTGCTTCCACGGAATGGCTTGGTTTGGAAGGAGGTATTTCTATTTCCTTGTGGAAGAGCTGTTCCAAGGACTACAAGACTCAGGTGTGGACGTGTGTAGCATGGGATGGCTTACCAGGTAAGTTAATTATTCTCTTTTATTGGGTATTGGCTTCTGACCGAACATCAAAATAGTCTTTTGATAACTGACTGAGTTTGTTTTTACGCCGCTTTTAGCAATATTCCAGCAACATCACGGCGGGGGACACCACAAATGGGCTTCACACATTGTACCCATGTGGGGATTCGAACCCGGGTCTTCGGCGTGACGAGCCAACGCTTTGACCACTAGGCTACCCCAACCGCCCCGTCTTTTGATAAAGTGTAACAGATCTACTTACACCAATTTTTAACAAAAATGACAACATATCATTTCGTAGAGCTGTCCTATCAGTGAACACTTACCTGCCTATGTTCCTCACTGAGAATGCCAACTGATGCTCAATAAATTCATGCAGGTAGATATTTTCTGGTCAATGAATACAATATGTCTGATAGATTATCAGACGGACATTTCCTTAATCTTTATTGGTGACAACGCGGACGGGTTTCTCAGATTGGTGCCAGGGTACCTAGTATTTGTAGCAGTGTCACCCGAGCCGGCTATTACGAGGTTAGATGACACTGCTACAATAAGAGAATCTTGTGACATCAGACCCGCTATTACCCGAGGGAGAAGCATACATCAGACCGTATTACCCGACGTATTTATCTTACCGCCATGTTAATTGTACAAAATATCATTTTATTTTATGTTAAAGATCGCGACCAACCATATGACATGTAAACAAAATGGCGTCTGCCTCTCGACTGGATTTTCTAAATCAGTGAAACATATTCTGACAAGCTTAAAACAGCTATAAAAATGGTTAATTTTGTTTAAGTTGAGTGTGCAAACCACTCAATGTATAAAATAGCGTAAAAAAAGCAGTGAAAGTCGGAAAATAAATCTGTACAAAGTGAACACAAAAACAGCTGATCGAACGGTTTTCGAACTCCGGGCACGGCATGCGTCATATTATGACGTCATACGATTGTTAGCGCTTCAGCTTCTCGGCGGAGAGAATGGCGGTTACCGTGGCAGCGGGTAATATTTTTCCAGTTGTCACCCTCCTGGGAGGGGTGACACGGAAACTTGTTAAAGCGTCATTGACCAATGAAATTAAAGCATTTTACATGAAGATAATGGTACGATAACGAAGGTACTAAAACGGAGACATTTTTCATTAATTGGTTTGCGGATATGTTTGCAACACATTTCAGTTTGTAGGTGGAAAGTGATATAGGTAATTATACATTGTCAATTGTTCATAATTTATAAAGCGAATCACATAACTATACAGTTGAAGTCATTGTATGTAGTCTACAGTGTATGGATGGTTTAAACAAATCCTGCTTTTCATATCTTATTTTTCTCAACAAACTATTTTTGGAGAAAGTATGCATCATCTATTCCCCAAAAGTTTTGTCAGAGGCAAAGACATCCAAACCTGTGTAGTTGAAGCTTAGGTGTTCATTAGATTGGCTACCCGTGAAGATTTAAGGTAGAATTGATGTTCAGTAACCCATGCGACTAAATGGATCGGGTGGTCAGGCTCGCTGAGTTGGTTAACACTAATCAATCTGTATTCATACTGAAGGCCACAGGCCCAAAGTATACAAGAAAATCACATATATACACATCACAATATGTCATATCACATCAAAATGTATCACATCATATAACATCACATTACACTGACTTTGTCATATCACATCATATCATAACACACCATATTACATCATATCATATCATACCATGTATCATACCATATCATATCACATCATTCCATATCATATCATATCATATCATATCGCACCACATCATACCATATCATATCAAATAACAATATAAGTACATACATTCTATGAATTATTATGTTTATTTCTTAGAGACAATGCTTGATAGATAAAGGTTGACAACTTACGGATAAGAACATTGTCATCAGTACTCATTAACAAAGAAAATTTCACCCTATCGGGATATACAGAATAATATGTTGGGACTTTTTGTTTTTCTTAACTCACAATAGAATTGGCGAATTAAGAGGAAGTGATATTCATCTTCTACACAATTAAGATCACAAAATGTACAAATTCTATTCTCTCTCTCTATTTTATGATATCTCCCTGTTTCGATTGCCAAGTCATGTGAGGAACACCTAAACCGAGCAAATGCCTTTCGAAATTTCTTGATATTTAGTGAGAACAGATAGATCTAATTCTCTCTGTATATAATTATGGGATTTAAACATTCTATAATAGAAACATTTACTTGACAATGACAGTGCTACAACCCATTCTTGTGTATATATATCTTTGAGCCTTTGATTAACATTATTCACAAAATTTATATGAAAGTCAACATTTTGCCTTTGCCATACCTCCCCAAAACCTATTGTATTTAACAATTCTCGAATGTTAGTCACCCAGTTAGTCTTCCCGTTGTTATCGTACATTAACATCATATCATAACACTGTCTAGGGTATCTATCAGATGGCATATATAACAGACGTGTACAATATGTTATTATTCTAGCTTTAGCAAAAATGTGTATGGGAAATCTTCCACAATATCCATATACCATGGCATTAGGTGTACTTGCTTTCACTCCTAAACATTTCTTGCAAGTATATAAATGTATTTTCTCAATTACGTCAAAACGATTGGTTAACACATGTCATCGTATCCAAATTGCGTAGATCGCAGCTCATGCTATTGATCACTGGATTGTCTGGTCCAGACTCGATTATTTACAGACCGCTGCCATATAGCTGGAATATTGCTGTGTGAGGCGTAAAACTAGACTCACTCACTCATTAGATTGGCAACATTCGTGTTGACTCGATTTGCTTCTTTTGACATGACCGTGATATCGGTGATATCAATGTCACTCATTGTTGGCCGATATCTACTTCCATGATGCCTTTTGCCTGACAGAGATGGTTATATACTAAACAACATCAAATCCTTTCCTGGTTATGGTAGCGAAAAATGATAATGAAACGAAAATTGAAAGCAACTGAAAACGTTGATCCTAACAACATTCAGTTCCCAACACAGGGCAATTTATCTGGTGTAAATACGGTCTTATAACCATCACATGTAATAATGCAAATTAATGCAAATGCCCCAACATGTTAAATTGTCCACCTTTTCAGACATTAAATGATGCATATGACGACTGAACATACTGATCACCAGGGATACGGATATAAGACCGCGGAGTCCTGTATCATGAACCCGTGAAGATCGGGTTAGAATTAGTCTTCAGTAACCCATGCTTGTCTCTACCCGGGAAGATCCGGGTTAGAATTAGTCTTCAGCAACCCATGCTTGTCGTAAGCGGCGTCTAACGGATCGGGTGGTCAGGCTCGCTGACGTGGTTGACACATGTCACTGTATCCCAATTAGACCGATGTTCATGCTGTTGGTGACTGGATTGACTGGTCTAGATTCGATTATTTACAAGCCGAAGTCATATAGCTTGAATATTACGGAGGTCGGCATTAAACAACAAACAAATCCTACATCATGATGTTACGATAAAAATATATAAACAGAGTTGCATGAGAAGTTCACACCGTCGACGTATTTTACAACGTTTAAGGGAGGGTGGGGGTAACCTAGTGATTAAAACGTCGGCTCGTCACGCCAATATGCCAAATCCCCACATGGGTACGATGTGTGAAGCCCAACTCTCTTGTCCTCTGCCGTGATATTGCTGGAATATTGCTATAAGCGGCGTAAAACCATACTCACTCACAATTAAGTTTGACACAACACAATGTGACAAACAGAACACCCTCACTGGTACAGTTGTCTGTCAGTATGTGTCTAACGTCATCATATCCATGGCAAAGATATATTAATAACCCTACTGGAAACCTCCTGCTTGTATGTCTTATATTTCCTTAAGCTCATTAATTTGAGGATTTACAACATCTCATAACGTCTCGCACACATCTGTACATTATGTTAGACTGGCAGACTTCTCTGTAATACTCTCTTGGTTCCATGTTAATCAGTAAAGGAAGGATATCTACACCATTAATCTAATCCTGTGCGTGATACGTTCCAATCACTCTTGCATGCTTATTGCCATCTTACGCAACGAGGTAAGTCTTTCGCCATTAAACACCCAGGAAGCATTGTTCCGAATCCGTTGAAATATCTTTGCGCATTAAAACCTCCTTCTACCCTTCCCCCAGTGAACTTCAGATTCCTAATTACATTCAAACATGCTGTCATTTACGGGTTGTTGTAATTAACTCTGAGTAATTTCAACTTCGAAATGGGATTCATTTGTGAATAGCTCTCCATCATGCAAAACGTCACAGTATTTTTATGTGTGTAATTACATAGATAGTAACATGATAAATCCAGCACGGCTGTTCTTTTGATGGTAATGTAATTAGAAGAAGCATTGCCTAACGACGGAGCCCAGGCCCATTCTATGATCACAAATACCGTTATCCGTACTATCGCTCCTTATTCATTCACAACCAGGACTAAGCTTCGGCAGTCTCCATTCTATGACTATTAAATATAATGTCAATTAAAAACAATGGGCCTAACCCACAAACCACAAAAGCAATAGACAAAGGCATTACAGAGGTAATAGTGAATTGGGAACTCATAAATGACAAGGACGCAGTGTTTCTATTTAAACAGCCTGTGAAACAGAGACAGCGCCCAGTCCTATTCACGGCTTGTGTCAAAGTATTCATTACTCGCGTCAGTCTGAGTTAGTGTCTTTATTCATATACACCGATGCATGCTCGAACTGGTTCTCTGGCCTCACGCAACTCTCTCTCTGTTTGGGCAACAGAGGGAACTATAATTTCTCATCTGACATTTAAACATTCTAAAATTGACACTACTCCACGTTACAGAGAAATACTAAAGTTGAAATCCTGATTGACTCTGATGAAACCAAATTCATGTGACATTTCCTTTGGCACATGCTATCGTTAAACATGTCACTGAGAGAAATAGATTTAATTTGATGTTTCCACTAAGTGTTCGAATGTTCAAACGCACCAGTCAGATCACCCTTTCCTGTGAACCCCACTTGGAATGAGTGAGTGAGTGAGTGAGTTTAGTTTCACGCCGGTTTTGGCCATGTCTACAATGCGGGGTACACCAGAAATGGACTTTGCATCATGCATCTTTGCATCATTGTTCCCATGTTGGGTAACCCCACATGCAAACAAAGGAAGGGGTTAACGATGCACGAAAGTGATGTTTATTTTAGTATTTGGAACTTATTGACACTTAGCCAGAATATTCATAAGTGTGGCAGTTCATGTTCCTGGTCAGAACGAACAGGTATATGGTGGTACAAGAAAATAAATATAATAATCGGAAATAAATGTTAGAAAACCAATTATATTTAGGGAATCTCGAAAGTCGTGTTATGTTATTCCGATTTTAAGAATCTTCTGTGAAAATACTTCTAAATATGGAGACCTATGAATGTTTCAGTGTAACTATGTACTGGTATTTCTTCAAGGCGAAGTGACATCCTTCGGGTGGATGATTTATATAAATGCCGAGAAATCGGGGAGTAATCCTCCCGTTGAAAAACAAATGCCCTGATTACTTCAGAGAAATAGTCAGATAGGTATGACATGGATAGTGTCGAGTAAAGTGCTGGGTAATTATTTACCTCAGGCAAAGAAAGATTTTATGTAGCTTGTGTCGACTTCAGAAAGAAAAACATCTCTTTTCTCTTTTCCCAAAACATTGATTTTTCTGATATATTCACAAGTCAAATGAAACAGTATTGACACAGTACTACTTGTAGTGTAGGTCAGAAATGCATGGACACAAATTCTAACGGTTCGTCCTGATTATGGACCCGTGTTCCTGGATTTCATCAAAATGTCTGAGGTCTACGTCACTTCGGGCTTTCATCCCATGTGTTATAATCTGAATACTGCTAAAAGCGTTGAAGCCAACTCACTCACTCACTCACTCACTGCTGTTGATGTAAATTATGTTATGTTGTCACAATACGAAATCTTCGTTATGTTTTAGTACTGAAACTGCGTGGGTTGATCGTGAATGGGTGCATATCAGTGTCAAACTGTAAAAGAACATAATCGATAATATCAATACCTGTACACTTGCTGCTATTTTCAACGTGCATATTAACAGCTCCGTTTTTCTGAAATTGTCTGGATCTCTATTCTTACATGGGTCAAGCTCTACTCTGTGTGTCTGGTCTTGTCTGTAACAGGGACGTAGAAATACAATAACATTTACAAAAACAAAAGTGATAACACTTGACATGCTTTAAAATATTTGGAATTAACGCATTTTGCTGTGTGACACGACAGATCATCTAAGTGTCCACTGGTATCTCAGCTCCCCTTCTTTTTTTGTTGGCCTGGTAACATCACAATATTGACCAATATGACACCCGAAAATAAGTAATCATCACAATATTGACCAATATGACACCCGATATATTCTGTACCATAAGTAAGTATCACAATATTGACCAATATGACACCCGATATATTCTGTACCATAAGTAAGTATCACAATATTGACCAATATGACACCCGATATATTCTGTACCATAAGTAAGCATCACAATATTGACCAATATGACACCCGATATATTCTGTACCATAAGTTAGCATCACAATATTGACCAATATGACACCCGATATATTGCTGTACCATAAGTTAGCATCAGCGATCTTAAATCTACAAATAGTTTCACGTCCTCAGAACCAATAGCATTTCCAAGTTAATGACTCTCGAAGTATGGTCTTACTAGCATGGCTGTATCAGTAAGAATCTATGCTGTTAATATAATGTATAGATACCATTGCAGGTCGCAGTGGACTGGATTACTAGAAATTATAACATGTTTTATAGAACTACCAGTCATAAGGCATGCTGTTCCTGTCGATGGTATACGCTAAACAAATAAATAAATTGCTTTAATTTAGTTATTTTCTTTAGTTTTTATTGTCAGTGTATAGAAATGAGGGACTGACTCAGAAAAGCTGAATGCGTGTACCACTGGTATTATAACTACTGGCATTATAACCCCTTATTTCGAACCCTTAACCTCCCAGCCACCCACGAAACCTAACCCAACGAGTCCAGATTTGTTATCACCATGACGATGGTCTGGATCTTGTCATTCACAGAGAGACTTGGGACGTGCTTAACTCACTCACTCACCCACCCAAAACCCAAACACCCACCCACCGACTCACTCACTCACTGACCCACCCACCCACTCACTCACTCACTCACTCACCCCTGTTGCAGATTTCGTGAGAGCAGCCCAAGGCTTCTGCGTGGTCGGCATCCTCACCTACGCCCTGTCTCTGATGATCCTCGTGGCCTACATCACAGTGCCCACTCTCCAGGAAACAAGAGGGGTCCTTATAGCCTTATGTCTACTTATATTTTCAGCAGGTGAGTCATGTGACGTTATTTCGTTTGTTCCGATGTTCCTTTCGGGGTGTCTTTATTGAAACGATTTCTGGGCATTCCACAAGAAAACCGAATTTACCAAATAAGCATAATACATAAACCTGAAGACGAGTTCTACTTGTGTGGCCAATATCTGCCCTGTTACGTCCGAAGTATACAGCTATCGGATTACAACCATGCTGATCAACATTGTATCCCATACGTACCGTCTTTAACAAAGCAAGCGCCAATAGTATTCTCTAATCTGTATCGTACATATGTATATACTATCACATATATGCCTGAGGAATCTTCAGGACCGAATAAAGTTTGATCGATGTGTTTCGTCGATGTACTGTGGGTATATACACCGTTAGTTGTCTTGTATTAATATCTTGTTGCATCTCCAGACTTGAGCATGCAAAGGAAATGCAGTATTGGAGAAAGTATTGGAGTTTTGTAAATTTATGTGTGTATACATTACCTGTCAAAAAAGTATACACCTATGTTTGATGATGGCGGAATCAAACAAGAAATGGTAATTCGATGGGGATGTATTTTATACTGGTAGGAGAGATTTGTATCAGACTTTAATGTTGTTTTTTTCCACCGTTTTCTAAGTCTTGCAACATTTTGACAACGTGCTTTTTGTAATGTCCAATGTTCAAGCAGATATTTTCTTTTTTCCCGGACAGTGTATAATTGGTATAACACTATGTTTACATGTAGTTTTTAGTTGCTGCAGGAATCGCGTTCGTGCATGAAGAAGCTTGTAAAATCGGGTCCATAGACATAGGTCCATGGGTTTGACCCGTGAAGATCCGGGATAGAATTGGTCTTCAGTAACCCATGCTTGTCGTAAGATGCGACTAACAGGATCGGGTGGTCTAACTCGCTGATACATGTCATCGTATCAACGATGCTCATGCTGTTGATCACTGGATTGTCTGGTCCAGATTCGTTTAGGTGGTTGGACTGTTCCATCCCGTATTATGTTATTGCATGAGTTCCATGGTTGGGGTGATTCCTGCTGTGCCTCACCGCAATTACCGCGATACATGACACGTCATGTTCTAATACTGGTTGAAGAGGTCGAGAGGACCCATTGGCGATCATGTATGTCATGACGAGGTCCGCTGAAGCGATACATGAAGAGTTCTAGCAGCGGTATAAGAGAGTGGGCCCATCCACTTGGTGCCATCAATGTTACGTCAGCGATACATGAAGAGTTGTAGCAGCGGTATAAGAGAGTGGCCCATCCACTTGGTGTCATCAATGTTACCTCAGCGATACATGAAGAGTTGTAGCAGCGGTATAAGAGAGTGGGCCCATCCACTTGGTGTCATCAATGTTACCTCAGCGATACATGAAGAGTTGTAGCAGCGGTATAAGAGAGTGGGCTCATCCGCCCTAAGTTACTTCAGATCCTGAATAAGTTCTGGTAGAAGGGTAGTTTGATTGATTCAGGCGCTTGACGGTATTTGAATTTTATCGTTGTCAACAGAGTAATTAGATTTGACATTTCGAACTTCTTTCTCAGGCCAAATACTAATGAAAACAGTAGAGCAGTTTATTTCTTTTGTGCTCAATACCTCCAGTAAATACATAGAGGCCAGTCATGTTTTGTCACTTTCATTCATATGCATAAAATCGCAAAATAAGGAACAGGGTAACCAGTTAATCATTTCCTACACGTTTCTATCTATATACATAGCAATTCACAAAGTACCGTATCGCTTGCCAGAACTCAATAACGTGCTTAATTGTTTTCCTCAGATCGTGTTCGATGTGGGCGGCAAACTTAATATTTGTTTGCGATGGTTTAACTCGCCACGGGCATGATATGATCTCCCCATATCGATCCCCTTGAAAAATATTGACCTCTTTATTTGAACTGAAAACACCAGTATTTACTCTGAGGCAGTTAAGTGGCATGGTGCTCCTGCCAATAAAAGACATTTGCGTGGACGTCATACTGGCAGTCCTTATGAAGTAACTAGCCCAGAAACGCCATTTTCAGGATAACCGACAGTCTCCACGCCACTACAAGTTGCATCAGTACCTTGGTTATGGTAGTTACAGCCATCCTAATTAAGAGAATGACCCCAAATGCCTCCTGCGCTCCGTGGCCCCTGTCGAACTCCCTGCGTCTCTGATTTTGCGTCTGTGATGTTTGAAATGGTTGGTTATCAAAGAAGGCTGTGGGTCTCCCAGCAGGTCCCAGCTGGCCCGGGACAATTACCTATTGCCGTACACTCCACGTCCGTAATCAAGGACGCTCAACTACATTGATCTGAAGACACGGGGATTTTAATAGCTTTTTCCTATTTCATAAATCGATGGCGGCATGCACCGCATACACTGCCTTTATTTAATTTCTTCTCAGTATTGGAAATCTGGCGAAGACGGCTGAGCAATCGATGGACCTAGAACTGATATCGGCTTCGTCATAACCGCCGTGGTCACGGGCAGGGCAGCAGCTTCGCATACGGGGACCCCTGTCGTCTCGTGCACAATGCCGTCCATCTTCACGGGTAATCTTGGCAGGGACGCTCCAGCTAATAGGCCCTGCCACGTGGGATAGTTCGACGTGAAAACTTGCCACACAAAGGAAAACTGGCCTATTACCGACATTGAACCTCTTATGTATTCTGCGATCTTCTCAAAGTGGCATGACGTGTTGAAATCACACGGAACTGTATTAATATACATCCGTTCGGTCTTTTCGCCAGCAGCCCATTGACGCATCTATTGATACTCTCAAGCGGCCATAATCGAAACTCCTTATGGGTTGAACAGACATCAAAATGACGTGTCAGCCTCGTGTTACATGTAAGCACGCGAAAGTGATCGTTTCTGGGTTTTTATTTTGCGGATCTCATCCATTCCACTCTTGAGCATTACAAGTTCACACTTCACAAGTCTAGTACACCACTGGGGCATTCTTCCAGCGATATGCCCGTTACCATACGAGGAAGCGCCAGAAGAATGGGGCTTGCGGATCGGGAAAGGGTTAGAGATTTTCTGTTGGTCTGGGGTTACGGTTAGGATGATGGTTCGTCGTGTTGGTGTTTGTAGTGCCGGGTGTGGGTGTGGGTGTGGGTGTGGGTGTGGGTGTGGGTGTGGGTGTGGGTGTGGGTGTGGGTGTGGGTGTGGGTGTGGGTGTGGGTGTGGGTGTGGGTGTGGGTGCGGGTGCGGGTGCGGGTGCGGGTGCGGGAGTGGGTGTGGATGTGGATGTGGATGTGAGTGAAGGTTAGGGTAAGAGGTTATGTTTAGGGCTACATGTTGGGTGAAGGTTAGGGTTAGAGGTTAAGGTTAGGGCTACTTGTTGGGTGCAGGTGAGGGTTAGAGGTTAACGTTAGGGCTACATGATGGGTGAAGGCTGGGTTAGAGGTAAAGGTTGGGGCTACATGTTGGGTGAGGTTTAGGAGCACATGTTGGGTGAGGTTTAGGGTTAGAGGTTAGAAGTATAGTTACATGCTGGGTTTAAATGAATGTTAAGATAGGGTATGGGGTTGGGGTCCATTCACGCTCCAGACTGCGACTGTTGTCATAATTCAGATCAATATTTACCTAAGTTAGAAAATAGGAAGCTGATCATGGAGTCACTGCATTTTAAGATATGCAGTTTGTTACAAGAGAGTTCGACAAAACGGAAGTCCACCTGAGCAGCAATCCATTACATGGCGACCAGAAAGGATGTGTTTCAGCCGCAACCCAAGCTAAGAGCCTGAGCGTGTTAGGCCAGGCTTGTTATCCGTCACGCTAAGAGCTTCGTGAAACTTTGTAGACAATGTGACAGGATTTGGATATTCTCGGAAAAGTCCTAATGATACCCGTGTGCCGCGACATGAAAATCAATGTAATAACGGTACCCGATACATTGAGTAAGTATTTACTAGTTCCGTGGCATGAATCCTATATCCTTGACCGATTCCTTTTAACGAAGGCTGGTGCTCGGCCATCCGTCATTGTCTAACACTTACACTCAGTCCGCATACACAATACTTCACCCGTATAATTAGTCTTATAGCTGGAGTAAGAGGCTTGGAGGGTATTATTACTGCTATTTCTGTGAAGACGTACCAGAATGAGACAGCAGCTTAATACTGAATGATGACATTATATTGTATCTGTCTGTGTTGTGCGGTGCAGAGAATCATTTGGTATATGGAATTTGTAAAAAAGAATATTAATGACAACAGAATGTTTGGTTGTGAAATTTTGAAACGTTTCAATTCTTCCACGGCAGCAATGATTTCCCTAATCAACGAATTCAAATGTATATCTGTTATAGTCATCTACGTGCAAGATGATCCTGAGGGCCCATCTGGTCTTCGACCTAGTTTTGGTGTCTAATGCCGTAATATTGATGGAACATTACTGAAAACGACATGAATACACATTAAGATTCAACGGAAATTCTAGACTCAATGGGCGGTCCTCACAAGTTGTACACGTGTTGAGAATCGAACCTCTCTCTCCAGCATATAGAACGTCAGCTTTAACTTTGATGTTAGTACTACAAACACATTTTCTATTGCCTGCAGTGATGTGTCCAGCATAGTCTGTCACACAGTCCCTGAACCACATTAATTTCCCTACTGCCAAGCCCTCTCTGCAGTTCTAAAGCCCTAAATAAAGCAAGTCTAGATTTCCTCAGGTTCAGGCTGAATCTCTGGTCTCCCTGGGTCTCCTTTTCAATATAAATGGGCTTGTTTGTTACTATCAAAATTATATATATTCAGAGACTAAGCCTTAGTCTATGTCCAGCACAGTTAGCACCTTTACAAGCACTTCTGGGGTTTAGCGCTAATATATCATCACCATCACCATCATCATCATTCATCACCATCATCATCATCGTCGTCGTTTAACACGTTATTACATTAGTATTACCGTATTTTCTCTATTAAGCGCCCTGGCGCTTATTTTTTCAACGGACTTCCAGACCCGATGCATTTTAGAGGCCCGGCGCTTACTGCGCTTACTGGCTGTAATTAATTATTTCTTAACCGCTGCTTTACTCCCGGCGCTTATTAGTTACCAGGCGCTTATTAAAGGAAATACGGTACTTTAATTATTGTTATTCACTCGACTGCATACAGCGGGGAGCAGTATGCCAATAGGTATGTAACCAGTAAGTTCTAACGCATCTCTTTGTTGCTGTTGCAGGCTGTATGACGCTGATGGCTCTTATCGTCATGGGAATCAAAGGCAAAGACTTCTGTGTAGATATACGACGAGATATTACGAAGCTACTCCATTACTTTGCATTACGAGTTAACGCATACGGTTCCTTCTACATCGGTTGGTCCTTTGTTATAGCCATTTTATCCTCTATCGTCACTCTATCTAGCTTTGCCTTCTGTATGTTGGAATTCATCAGGGTCAACGACATGCCAGTCAGACAGCACTGAGTCTCGAAGAACGTTAGCCGAAACTGACTGTGTGCTCAAATAGGTGTGTAAAATCCGGTACAAAACATGTACAGACCTCCATCATGGAGCCTCATGATCCACACGTGTGTAATGAGAGACGTAAGGACTGGTTTCAATCGTTGTCACTTTGAGTTGTGATTTAAGTCGTTTCCGTAATGGTTTCCCATCAAGGCAAGTTACTATCACCATTACCACCAATGCTGAACATGGCTTTTCTTGCCAGCTCAAAGCCCACCTTGAAGTCATCGACCGGTCAAACAGTGTTTCAGAAAAAAACAGAACTGCCAACAAGCACGAGTGTTATTTCTGATTTATTCTTTGGCTATTTTTGGGGAAACGTCGGGAAACAAGATTCACTCTTACGATAAACGAGGTAGCTGGCGATGGAATAATTTTGTGTAATAATTATTGCAATGAGTACATGTACCGAGAACGCCTCTCCCTGTAGACTTGGTCTTGAGTATGACAGTATTGAGTCAGCTTGGTATCACGTCGTGTCACAAACCCGGACAAACGCTAAAATATCATAGAGTTATCAACAACACATTACCAATGGCGATGGACTACAAAGTTATGAATAAAAAAAGTACTTATGTACAGAGACGTCAGATGGTCTGTAAGATGAGACGATTGCTCATCTTTAAAATAAATGGGTTTATTTATATAATCATACTAATTCTTTAACCCAGAAAAGGAACACTCATATATGTGTGTTGACATCAGCAAGCATCCCAGCCATAAAAGCGAAAGTGCGAGAAAGATTCTAGACTCCGAAAGGTCACGGATGAAGAAGAATTGCTTACCGCTCGATGGCTGGTTTATGATGAACTCCAACTGTAAAGACCAATCACCCCCATGTGTTCAGTTCCGAAGATGGATATCATGTTATAGGGAGGCTCTCGGAAAGAAGCCTTTGAAAGGATATGGACAGATGATAGCGTTTTTCAATGAAATGACGTTATGGTCAATACAGTCAACATGGAATGAAATCATGAATACATCCAGACATGAGAATGGAGACGTAGGCCATTCAGATGAAGAAAGCAGGGCCGTCTGTAATGCCACTGGGCTGGTAATTAAAGTCGTATGGTGATTAATCAACTTTTGTGGAAAAGCTCAACATAACTTGGAACCCCATTTCCAGAAATAGCACGTTAGAATGTTTTGTGAAATGAAATGTTTCTTAGGACCTCGAACAGAATGAGATTGATGTGTTCATATCTCATATCTGATTGGCGTGAAGTTTTAAGAGAAAGCTCATTGTATATACACCTGGTGATGACGCAGTGTGGATATGTTCTAGGACCCGGCCAACCTACATCCAGGCATCTCTACCATGTACGTGCACCGCCATACCATATCAGGTACCATCAGAATATCATCTATACATGCCAGGGGAAACACCCAGTGCAGGAACTCTGAGACTTCGTATGGATATCATACATTCAGGGCATGTGAAAATATCAGTTTCTCATAGGAAACATTTTAGTTACGATCACGGTACTGGTAACTGAGACACAATAATATGTCTTTAGAAAGGAATCAAGAACGGATACATCAAACCGGTTTCATAAACCGTTATCTTCAACCGGTTTTATAAACCGTTATCTTCAACCGGTTTTATAAACCGTTATCTAAAACCGGTATGATAAACCGCAATCTGTGAAGACACTTGTGCTGTGGGATGGTAAGATAGGATGGAGGGTGTAATGATAACGAGAAGTGTTAATTAAACTATACCTGGACAGTGAACGTGATTCATCGGTGCCAGTGCTTCACTGTTTCCGTTATTGTCTCATCACACAATGTCAATGTATCCTTAGTCTGATAAGGGCCTGCTAAACAACCAGAACGGATCAAGTCCTGCTAAGACAAAACCACCCTTTGTTCGTCCCTCTTAACGATTCCGACAACACTTATTGTTACGTAACAGTTACAGTGTATGTTTGAATGAGGAACACATATGCTTGTTGTTAAATATATTTCCTTGTGTAAAAACTTCGACGATTAATATATACTCATGCCAATAATGGTTGTCACCCCCTTCAATTTTTTTAATTGGAGAGGGGGTGTGGGGTGGGGTGTTAGGTGTGTGGGGGTTGGGGTCGGGGAGGGGTGACAACCATTATTGGCATGAGTATATACAATTTTATTGTCGACACATCCTGAAAATGGTATTTCTCCTGAAGTGGGCAGAAATTTGATGCTTTAGAATTTTGGATAATTTCCATAAAATTTTATCTTTAATTTATCAGGGTGATTGTACCAGTCGTAGTTCTTACACGGTGGAAATAATAATTACCATAATCATGTACATTAATATCTATTCACTGTTAATTCTTACTCTCTACTCATTCCAACGAATTATTCTCATATACATCGAGTGTCAAATACTCATGCACATTGTGGTCAACAGGACACTGAAGATATTTCACTTACATCTTTAGGTAAAACTCAGATAAAGTATCATTCAGATATCAGACATGTTCATTGTCAGATTTTGATAATATGGATGAGATTTTCAGAGAATACAGTAGCGTTGGACTCATTAACATATAATCGCAAATTCTATAAATTACTATCTTCAGTTATAACACATAGCTTCATAAGTTTGGACATATCAAAAGTTGGAATATTCGATTGACTTGATTATAATCCCTGGTGTACCAGCACCACACTTGATTGTTGCAAGGCTGTCTGTATTTGTTTCTGTGTTTCCCTTCTCTCGCCCACCTTAAATTTTCATTCAGACATGAAAAATATAATGTTTCCCCTAGCGTCAATTTTCCACGTGGCTTCGGAAAATTTATGCCCTTGTGTAATAAATAGATATGCCCCTGCCCTTGCATTCTCAGGTCAGCTTGATCATTCTTCAATTTAATTTTAAAAAAGATATTTCCGAAGCGAAGCAACTCCATCTACACCATAAATTTACATTTTTCATAAAATATGTTACACAATTAGTGAAAAACACTTTTAAATTTTTAATTCTTTTATTTTGTTGTTGACCGAACGCTGTCTTGTTGGTTGGGGCTGGAGATGAGAAAAACATACAAAATACGAATGTTTGTGAGAAAGAAGATGCTGTCTCGATCGATGTTTCAAAACACCTAACTTTTCCGTGAAAGATGAAGCAATACAATAAACAAATTAAAAAAAATCAGGACACAAATCATATACAATACCGTCCGGTAACACGCCAACTAACGTCTCTTTTTTTTTTTTTTTGTGGTTTACGTGACTAAACATGCTGGTATGCTTCATATTTACCTAGAAATATAAGTAACTGTAAGATTCTAACGTTGCATTATGCCATACGTTCTGACGACATCGCTTGCAACTGATGCGCATAACATCCAGATGGAGATCCGAAGTATGGGAGCGTATTAGGGCCAGATTATTTTCAAAAATCACTTCATCAATGTAAGGAAGAGAGTTTCATATTAAATCCAATTATGAATAATGAAGAAAAGGGTTTAAAAGTCTGAAGAAAACGAATTTTCATAAAACTGTCAATTTATCTGTCAATTATTGTTATTTACTTACCTTTAGTGATTAAAAGCCAGTCCCTTGTAGAAACGTCCCGATTTCAAGCGTAAATGTGGTAGCAGACGATGTTTACCTTCGATACGGAAGTACGTTATTGCAGCTGCGCAGAATTACCAGACGCGCGGAATTACCGGTCTCGTATGATAGCAAACAAATAATTTCTATTTCAGGATCATTGTTTAATTTTAACTTTTGTATCCCGGGCCTCCTTAAGATATATAAATGGTCGGTTTGACTTGAGCTGCTGAAAAGTGATAAACTTCACGACCTTGTGTGTCAACGGACCTGTCGTGATATTACAAAAATACAGTTTAATACGCAGAACCCACTTAATCTGCGTTTATTATTCCACAATAAGGTGTAATTTCTCGGGTTTTCCATGACTGCTATGTTCTAGAAAAGTGGGCTTCTCCGATATTGTGCTATGTCACGATAGAACCAAGATTTCCTTCCTCCACCCACACCAACGTCCGTAGTCCACCATCCTGTCCTCACCCGAACACTACCTCTATCACAATTCCCCATCCACACCACACATTCACCCCTACTCCGAAGCACAAGATTCTTTTCTATTCCTTGTCACACTACCAAACACGACTTGTCAGCCGATCCACGTCAGTGGTCATGCCTTCACGTTTGCCTCGATAAGGGCCACTAATACCCTGATCGTGCATCAACATAAGCACTGAACTTGTAATAAATCCATATTTCATGATGTTATGAATTATTAGAATATTATTGTTGACATTACTTGTTGATTTGATGTTACAAGGTTGTGATAAATGTCTGAGGGTAAATACCATCTCTTAAGTATTCCATTTACAACTGCATGCTTGTATATTCTTTAATGTTATTCAATAAGTCATTTTCCAGATTTGCCGTTCACAAGTTTTGACTGTTTGCCCGCGGTCACGTGGTTTTTCAAAGGGACACCACTCTAAACGAACTTATTTCGCGAAACTAGAAAACGCTTATTGGCCACATACACTTTACGTAAAATGACAAAACTGTGTTTCAATTTGTTTTTCAAACTTTTACCCTTCATGTTATAAGGTTTTAATATCATATTTAACCATGGTACGCAAATATTATTATTATCAAAACGGCATTGGTTATACATTTTAGCGCAGGAGTATACAAAAATGAAAAGAATGTATCTAAAACATTTCAATTAATTATTATCTTTAACTATTTTTAGTTTCGATCACTGATGTAGTTTCCAAGAACAACACAATGTAATTCTATAAACCGTTTTGTGCCAGTTTATATAGCATCTTTAGCTAAGTTTCGTGTTTCAGATGAGTCATTCATTTAAACATTTCGTCTCACCACAGAGTGAGTGGGCGAGAATGGTTTTATGCCGCTATTTCCAATATTCAAGCAATATCATGGCGGGGAACACCAGAAATGGGCTCCTAACATGTGAATGTGTATCCATGTAG